TCCTAAACTTGAAAGCAATCAACATTCACTATTGAAAACAATCGCGGATATAGCTTTATTTGGGAGTGCAACAGATGATAGAAGACGAACGGAATCAATTCGCAGCGTAAAAACTCTTGATGAACACGCACAAGAATTACGTAAAATAGGATTTGACATTAGTCGCAGTAGGACATATCTTCGTTTGATTCACAGAAAATCTAATTCTGCAGAGGGACGAAGACATGTATCGACAGTCCCTGTTAAGCTCATTCGGGCTCAAACTGATCACCACAAGAGCCACTTAGATAGCAAGTTCGCTGAAACATCAATCCATTATTTAGAGAACATAGCATCCATACTTGGACCAGATCAAGTATTTTTCATATCTCAAGGTGATAAAGCTCGAGTCCCTATTGGCGTAACTGCGGCAAATAAGCAAGCACCTCTTCTAATGCACATGGAATATAGAATCAAATTGCCTGATCACGATTGGGTAATCGCTGAGCGTCATAAATTAATACCATCTGTTTATGCTGGTATCAAAATCACTTCCAATATGCTTGGACAACCGCAAACCGTTGGATATTCTGGACCAACATACATCGCTATTCGAAGTGGAAAGCATGGTTCGTCTACTGCTAATACTCATGCTCAGGATTTCGAGACGCTTCTCGAACTTGAAGAGTTTCGACCATTAGCTAAAACTGACCATGGACTAGTAAAACCAGTGGTAATCATGACGGTTGATGGAGGGCCAGATGAAAATCCACGTGTGTAATATTGCCTCATGATCATTTTGGGTCTCATTTGTCATTTGCATGAACGTGGCGTTACAATTAATGAATGTTTAGAAAGATCGAATTTCGAATTTGCAGGAAATGTATTAGCTGAAGTATGGCGTTCAATGGAAATTGATGGCTATAATGTTAATGCAAAATATGTTGGGGCAGGTGAACAAGATCTTCTTGATTTTCCAGACATTAGATGGTATTCAGAACATGTGCGTGAGAGCCAATACTTGCTTCAAATTGTAAAATGTAGAAATACAGAATGCTGTCGTCCAAGAAGTGGCCTATTTAGATTACTAGACAATAGGTTTCTTTAACCACTTGTGAAAGTAAAACAAATAGTTGATGACTTGGTTTTGGATGAAGGAGGGCAATTTCTTAATCTTCCAGTCAATTTAGCTCTACGCTTAAGTGCTTCATTCAAATATTTCCTGCAAATGCCCTACGATTATTTTTGTCCGACGGTAAAATTGAGGCTATCAAGTCGAACATGCAAAACGTGTGGTCTTTATTATGCTTCCCTCAAGTCACTAAATTTTCACATCGAAAATATCCATAAAAAAGTAAACACGTACACTGATAGGAAAGTTAGACCTGTAAGAGTCGCTGCTCGTCGTGCTAATGAACTGATGTGCATTATTCAAAATTTAGAGCACCATAATGTTGAATGGCTCGATGAGAACGACGTAGACATTCCAAAATTCGATGAAAGCGAGCAAACTCACAACACTGAGCAGCAATCGAAGCAATCCAATGTCATCGAAAACTTAGAATCATGGATTCGGGTTGCATGGACTGAAGACTTAATTTGAATTTAATATAGGTACCAAAAATTTAAAATAAGTTTGTTATGTTAGTAAGATATAATATTTTTGAATACCGTATCAGTTAAATAAAATCTCTATCCTAAATCTATTTTTTTATTTTTCAAATTATAATTATAACGTTATAATTATAATATTAAAAAAACAATACATTAATTGACAAATGTTTACGTAAGCATAGTGGGAGGGGGTAAAAGCTTTGCTTACTTTTGCTGACGAGGGAGATGGGGGGGGGGGGTAAATTATTGTAATGCTTACGTAATACTTGAACGGCCCCTGACTAGCTGTTGTGCTCTTGATGTGCTCTCGTTGTGAAGCTGTACGTGTCCCTGAACGTCATGACGCTTGAGCTATCATGGTTTGGCTATGATGTGATGTAGCATCTGTTTCAGAGATAACATTATTGGAGGTCCAAGCTGTAAGTTGTATACAGCTGGGAGGAAGCGGCAGTACATAGGTGCTTAGTGAGGATTTGTGTGCTAATAATCTATATTGATGATAATTCCCTTGGATTCTTGTTGCAGTTACACTTACCTAAGATGTAGGTATGCAAAGCGCATCCTGCAAAAATGTTTTGTGTGTGATGCATCATTCCTAATTTTTCTGTGATGAGACTTTGAAAGTAAATGAATATATTTATTTTTTAAAATAAAGCCTTAGATAAAACTTTCAAAAACCTTTTTTCAGAAAAGACAACACATAAATAACCCGTCTGGCACAGCAAATAGATATACTTCATGGGCACCTTATTCAGTAATAATTTTCTCACATATCAAATGTTACTGATTTTATACACATGCAGATCAATACACAATCATCCAGATAGGATCTTGCTACTCAACAATTTTTCTTTCTTTCATATCTTCCAAAGGCAGTTTGTCACGATACAAAATTTTGTTCATAATTCGGTATCAAATTTTGTGAAAAATGCGTTACTCAATTCAGTTCTCATTTTTTTACCAATTACAATCCGTTTTGTCAGGTATAGAAATTTTTGTAATAAATTACGTACGAAATCATGCGCAGTCGGTAGAAAAAAAAACTATAACTATCAACTTCGAACTGCCATTTGTCACGTCAGTCATTTTAACCGTATATTTCGTTGCGGTTTGCCACTTTATTCCTTTATTAAAGACGAATTTAAAATTGTAGAAAATGGAGCGATCCAGTAATTCGCATATATTATATGCGACCTCATGAAAGAACGAAGTGAGCGAAACCGTAAAAGAATTTGATGTCGATATGAATCAGAGAGAGGGACCGGGGCATGGGTGTGCTCCATATGCTGACTAAAGAATTTCTAGTGGAGGATCTACTAGCTCATAGTTCTAATTGATTCTATAGTCATTCTTATTTTATACAACGGAGCTGTGTTTTATAGACCGTGCTTTTTAAAGGTGTATCTACCAAAGATGTCATGAAATTATTAGTAGGCGACTTAACTAAAAATATTGATAACAACAATCCAACAATGGCTGTATTTGTCGACCTACAAAAAGCATTTCACACTATCGATGACAGGAAACTGAGTAAATTAGAACATACTCTACAATCTCGGCATTCCATTCCAGTCGTTCCTCCATCTGTGATGCTATGGGTGACACGCACAGCTCTTTCTCAGCGAGCAATAGCGGAATGAACTAATTGTACACTAGCAGCTATTTAGTCGGCAAGTTGACATTTGGTCGGTTTTTTACATTATATAGGTTATTTAAGTAATATCCCTGCCGGTTACTAGTTGCTTTCGGTGAGAACACTTCCTTATGGTATTTGTCGCAAACATTTCTAGTATACAGGGTGTCCCAGAAGTCGACGTCAAGCCGGAAACGGGTGGTAGGCCACGCCATAATAGTTATCAGAAAAATATAAAAAAATCATGTCCTGTACTTTTCAAATTATAGGCTTTAAAAAAATCGGAATAATCTGTTTAGTTCCCATTACTACAAATTTCAATTTTTTCCTAGGTGGAGTGTTGGACAGTGTCATTCTACGTAGTGACAGCAAGACAGATAGTAATGCCACTTTTATGAATTCGTGACAGTATTTATTAAATTCACAATAAACGTTCAAACTACCTTCCTTCAGCAGTAATGCAAGATTGACATCTTAAAAATGATCGGGTTATCAGATAGGCGAATCTTCCCTTATTAACAAATTCAGCGGCTTCCGTTATTCTGTCTCGTAGCTCAGCAAAATTTTCCAGGCCGTCTGGCTGTGTTTTCTTTCACCGCTCCACAGTAAATAAAAAAAATCGAGTGCATTTAGGTTAGGTGAACGGTTTGGCCACGAAATTGTACCAGACCGTCCTATCTGTCTGCTCGTGTATTCTACATCAAAGATATTCTCTAACTGAACGGGCCTAGTACGCCGGGCAGCCGCCATGCTGGTGCCATAAGTCTCTGAAGATGCTTAGTGACATGTCTTCCAATAAATTTAGTAAATTATTTTGTAAAAAGTCTAAATACATTTCGAAATTCAAGACCTCTGGCAGCTCAAAGGCTACAATGATTCACCCATTTAGAATCCCGGCCCACATGATTATTTTAAAACGATACTGTGATCTATCTTGTCTGATCAAATGTAGATTTTCTTCATGCCACTCGGGTAAGTTGTGTAGATTCATGTAACCATCGTTTTTATATGTCGACTCATCAGCCCATAAATTTTTCTCTAAAAATCGTGGATCCTCCCGGTGTCTCTGTAACATTGTTTGACAAAACTCAACTCTAGGAAGATGAAATCCTGGGGTTGCAGAGATTTTACTCGCTGTACGTGGTACGGGTAGATGTCGTTCTGTCACAAGATTCGGTGGGCAGTACTTTTGGACACTCTCGTGCTTGCTTCTATTTGACGTACTGAAGTACTCTTGTTAGTACGACGCCCTCGTGAGAAAAGTTAATTATTCCTTCACTATGTGCTTGATTTGTGAATCGTCCCTCCGAGAGTGAACGGTACATTCACCAAAACGTGAACGGGATGACCAACAGCATTTCGGTACCTCTCACGATAAAGCGTAGCTGGAGTACTAGCATTGCATCTACATTCTCCATAAATAAGGTGCCTGTTCGCGTATTCCTGTATGATGTACACAGATATGGTGACACTATACAATCATGAATTAATAAAAGTGGCGTTACTATCTGTCTTGCTGTCACTACGTAGAATGACACTGTCCATCACTCCGTCTAAGGAAAAATTTAAATTTGTAGTAATGGGAACTAAAAGAATAGGGTTTTAATTTTTCCGATTTTTTTTAAAGCGTAATTTGAAAAGTACACGGCAGATTTTTTTATATGTTTCTGATAACTATTATGACTTGGCCTGTCCGGCTTGACGTCGACTTCTGGGACACCCATGTTAAAAAGCAAGATTGCTCAATAACGTATCACTTTTGTTTTGCCGACAGGTGGCGTCGCTAATAGCCAACGAGTTGCAAAGCAACTTAGAACTAGGTCTGCCGATCTCAGAAGCTTCTATTGCAACAGTTTCTAATGATATAAACAGCCCATCGTACTCATATTCATTACCTAGTTTAGAAGAATCTGTGGAAATTACGACGCACAAGTCATTCAATAGCAGCATGCCCTTGTTAAACGAGGACGTTGAGAATTCTGCGGACCAGCAAAAGGATAAGGACGATGCACAGGTAATAATAGCTTCTGTTTTGACCTACGACTAGCCAATCGCAACGCGGCGCTCAAGCCAATCAACGTGTTACGTAGAATCGGAACAGTTCTGGAATTGTTCATTGCAGAACCCCAAGATGGCTTATAAATATAGTTTTAACTAGAAGAATAGATAACGAAAGACTTACACAGTGTGGTTTGTAATGAACTAAGAAGAAATTCTAGATAGACTAGTGAAAATAATATTTTTGAGTTAAATATGCCTTAGTTATAGTGCGCTGAAGTTTAATTTTCAAAATAATTTTTATCTCTGTAACTCAGCGTGTTTTTATGATATCAACATGAAAATTAAGAACCGGAGCTTTCTAAGGATGATAAATACGATTATATTTACGATACAGCACATTAAGGGTACTAGTTACAGACTATAGTCATGCTGCTTTTATAACACAACTTTTTTGCTGGTACCGTTCCATTGGATATTGTAGTTATTGCGATATAATAAATCCTCTTTAATATATTGCATTTAAATAAATATATTAACGTATCATTTCTTATCGGTAACGCATATTCCACTATTATCGAAATGTTTGAACCAGCCATTTTACTGTGTGAAAAAATACTTCAAAAGGGGTTCACTTGATTGAAATAAACGCAGATAACCTTGTTTGCTTAAAACTAGCTACTCTACCATAATTTTTAATAAAAAAGTTATGATATATCAAGTTGAAAAATAGGATATAAACGCATGTGTTATCCACAGAAGCCCTGATTCAAAATTTTCAAGCTCATATATCAAAACAGCTTGAGCTAAAATAAACTATTGTGAACGTTAAACTTCGACATCCCGTATCTCAGTAATGAGCGAAATGTTACTACGGGATATTTGGCTTAATATTATTGTAACGAAAACACAGTTTTTACTACTTGAAGCCTAATTTATTATTCTCACACTAATTTATTACAACACTTGCTACTAATTTATTAGATATATAATATCGAATTGATTATCCGGTCTCGTGCTGATGCTCACCCATTGTCGACTTCCCTCTGTTCTGCGGTCGGCGCCTATTTATTTTAAAATCGAAAAAATCTAAGGTTTTCCAGGCAGAACGCGAAGTTGACTAGGTGGGGGTCAATTCCTCTCGACGGGTGTCGATGTTTTTCGATCTCGCCACTCCCGATATTCTGGCTGCCTAAGTACAAAGTTCTAGTTACCATGGCGTGACATTATTTTAATTTAGAATTTCTTTTTGGCGCATATTTTTCATTGTGACCGACGTTGCTTGGGCTACTGAAATATTAGCAAAGTTTTTTGAACATACAGATCTAGATAATTAGTGCTTCAACTTGCCCTAATTTTCCGGGTGAAAAGTCACGTTGCCGAAAGTCCTCCTACATTTTCAAAATATATGTAAAAGTCAAGCCGATACTTTAAAGCTTATGGAACACAGACGACTCGAAAACCGAAGTCGGGATTTATAGGACAAGGAGAAAAACAGAGATCTCTATACGTCTATAGCAACAATATTTCAGGAATGAGACTGTGAATCAGTCGATCGCCATCCGCTCAGGCAGCCATTAAGGCATTAGGTTTATCGCAAATATAGTCTAAATTAGTAGGGGATTAACCTGAATACTCTCAAAGAGCTGGGAAACCGAAACTAGGTAGCATTGCTCTAGGTACCAGAACACGAAGGGACCAAAGGAAATGAGAAGGTGGATGAGCTAGACCGACATGGTTGCGGCCAATCGCTTTATCCAAAGCCTTTCTCTGTGGTATGGCGAGAACACGCATCGAATAGTCCATAAGAAATCCGACAAAGAAAAACTCTTTAGAATGGTGGAACAGCCAGCTAGGCCAAAGGCATGCAAAAGAGATAAATCAAAGAACGAAAACCTGCCTTTACAGAGTACCTACTCCGATTTAATAGGAAGGCTATAAGTAGATCTCCCTAACAGGACAGTCTCTGTATTTCTGCAGAGGTCTTGAGGAAACCACAGTGCATCTCCTGTGTCGCTGCGGAGGTCTGGTTTCAGATATTAGGAAACACAAATCCAACAGCGGCAAGCTACATGCAAAGCCCTGTGTCAAGGTTATGGAGCCTGTTTAAAGGATCAAAGCTGGATACAATGCTTTAAACAGTGTATATCGGAGACACAATACATCCACATAGTTCGCAGTGGCCAACCCCTTTTTTGTTATCTTTACTTCCATATCTTAGGGTGCTCAACAAATAGCTAAACAAGAGTTATGCGTTATGTTCATAGATGATTAACAGCCTTCGTTTAATGACCCAAATGGAAATGTTCTAGATATTGTAATTCTTTACTATGGATCTACTATGGATTATGGTTGCAATTTTATTTTTCCTTTCGCTTGGGACTTCACGAAATCCTGCATTTTCATGTGTGTCGTGACTTATCTAAAAAAAAAACAGTGCCTTGTATAGGCTCAAATTTGAAGTATATACAGGATGATGTCCCAAACATATGGACTCATGCAAATGTCTCGAAAATTAAGGCTGCTAGAAAAAACTTTAGATTCACGTTTTAGAAAATTAATGCGTAGGAGACACCCAACGCCACATCTGATTGTGACTTTGATTTTGACATGGTCTGTAAGGTCAATTCAAGATCACATTGATTTTTATACATGGAAACCATCAATTTTTATCCCAGTGCGGAAAATTTAGGAAAATCTCACGTTCAAAGGTAAAAGGTAAAATCATACCTAGATGTTATTTCAAAGTCAAGTGACCTATTTCCGTGAAACGACCGATAATCTTTGCAAGTGAAAAAAGAGATCTTGTGGTCGGACACTAGCCTGTCTCGTCTTCACTGGCCGGACATAGCGGTCTTACCTTCACTGGTCGGAAATAGTATTACCTCAATATCTTGGAGAATCAGTTCAAGATCTCTTTTTTCAATAAAATTGGGGGTTTCGATGTCAATAAATCAATAGACCTTCAAGATCAGAATGAAGGTCACCATCAGATGTGCCATTGACTGTCCTGCAATTTTCGCATTAAAAGTTCTCCTGTAATATTCATCTTTTTTCAGGCATCCACCGCTTCACGATATTCCATGAAAGAGCAAGAATTGACCTCGAAATAACTTCTAGATGTAATTTTAACCCTATAATATGTATACCGTTGAAAAGGATTTTTTTTGCTATTTCTGCAATAAAAATAGAGGTTCCTCTTTAAAAAAATCAACTTGCCATTGAAATCATCTCCGAGGTGAATGTCCAAAGTCACTACTAGATGAGCCATTTGATTTCTCAAAGATTTTCTATTTAAGGTTTTTTTTATAGCACCCTTATATTCCGCCATACTTTTGAGACATCCTGTATCTGCGTCACCTTACAATAAAAAATTAGCTGCTTATAGTTGCTCCTAATCAATATACATCGATTTTAGTCATACCATGACGGGATCACACGAGCAATGTTTTTGCCCTGACTGAACAGCAAGTAGCTTATAACCATCTAACAGGGATTATACGTGTTGAGGAACACCGTCAGTCCTAGACGCCTAAGTAGGTTAATAGCAACCTATAAAAGTTGTCTACAAAATTGTCTGGGATGTCTGTTAATCCGATTTTTGAACTAAGGTTAGTAGAAAAAGCATCCTCTTGTAGATTGTTCCACAGTCTCGACACCCTAGGGGCAAACGAGCGGTCGTACCGGCCAGTTCGGGATGTACGAAGTTCGACACGTTTAGGGTAGGAGGCGTAAGTCAGGCGGGTCTGTCTGGCAGGTACATCGCGCGGCGCTATAATGGAGCAGAGCTCCGAGGAGCAAAGTCCATTGGTATAGCGGTAGACATGTCGACGGCGCGCCGGTGAGAAAGGGTTCTGAGACTGTTAGAGAAGAGTTATCGATCAGTCGGACAGTCCTTCTCTGAACAGTATCGAGCATGGATAATGTAGTCGCGGCGGCAGCACTCCAAACGTGTAATATTCGAGGCTAGGTCATATCTGAGCCTTGTATAGAGTAAGCAGGTCATGTGGAGAAAAGTACTTCTTAGCCCTAAACAGCCTAGCTTGTTTCCAGCAGCTGCCGCTATTGTCGCGATGAAATGGACGGCTCTTTGGCAGAACTCGGGCATCATCGAAACCGGATCAGCGCTAGGTTTTTTGTACGTCAAGGTACAGTGTTTTGGAAGCATTACACTGTACAAGATTGTTGCGTCCCCAAGCAGTGATAACCTCCAGGTCCCTCGTCAGACATAAGTCGGTGTTAGTCTTCTTTTCTCCAGATCACCGGCAGAGATCGGCTTGCACTCTGAATTCCTGCATGTAGAGTGCTGTCATCAGGTCATCAGGAGAGGAGGTCGTTGATATGTAAGAGGGACACTTTCGGAACCAAGACCGATCGCTAGGGAACATCCGCGTTGACGTTTTGGGAGGAAGAACCGTCAATTACGACGGATATCCTGCGGCCAAAGGGACAGTCAGCCAGCCAGCTGGAGTTTCTCTGAGTGGCCATAGGTTGGAAATTTGCATAAGAGGGCACCATGTCATGGCTGATCAAACGCTTTCGTGATATCAAGAGCAACGACTGGATGAGCTTACTCCACAATTGCGTGACGTAAGCTAGGATGTCCCCGGTGGATCGCTGGTGCATACTGTCCTGTCGCTACTCAAGTCGTGACGTTCGAGATACTTTAGAACAGTAGTCGCCAATCTTTTCAATGTGTACTTTGATAATTTTGGAATAAACAGTGAGCTACCTAGTCTTAAGCAATGTAAGCTAACTTAAATGAAATTATACACAGTCGTATGCGACATACATGTGTTTATTTTACTAATACTAATATATACTAATATATACTAATTAACTTGAATAAACTAATAACTAATACATACTACGTAACTACATCCATTCCTACCAATTGTAGGTGTTTGAAAGATAAACAAATATTTTCGTCAGCTACAATGGCATGTCACATATATATATATATATATATATATATATATATATATATATAATTCAGCGCTTCAGGCCTGAAGGCCC